AGGCCGTCCATTGCTTCCAGGTTTTCCATGGTGGTCAAGCTTCAATTGACTCATGATTTTAATCTGTGTTATTTCATTATGTTCTGTTATGATTAGCTTAAAATCTACCATTTCATTTTCATAATTATTGTAATATATTAGACATAATATCAATATATACGAACGTCATTACGAAACTGATCAGAAATGTAAGTTGGAAATAGTTGAGTTTATGTTTCGTTAAGTATTTAATACTGAAGGAATACTCACGAAATGAGTTAGTGATGAAGGGAAAATGTCTTATAGGAAAAAGTGAAAAGATTTAACCAATAAAGAAAAATTACAGATGAAAAAGTCAATACGAAATTGGGAATGTCGTGTCTTGTTTATTACGGTATTAGTATCAGCTGTAATAACAATAAGTATTGATTAGAATATCATGTAAAATTGGAAATATCACTGTATCATTTAAGTTTTAATAGAAATCATGAAAGGGAGTTAGAGTTAAAACAAATTGGAAGGGAATTAGTGTCTACGTTTGTGTACGTGTATTTCCGTATAAAATCTTGAAACGTTCGAAGTTACATACATCATTATATCACATTTTAGTAAAGATTAAACGTTCTTCGAGAGACAAAAGATCTTATATTTGATTACGGTGGCTGGTTCATGGATCCGCTTTGCTTAAGAGTTCCATGCTATCCAATGCTTCCCGATTTTCAATGGTTGTTCAACTAGAATCACTTCATCAAGTAAACTTCTTACTCTGTAGAAATGACTTACATTAAGTTACGAAATGTCAAAAATACAATATTCTACTCATTGGTATATCTCAAAAATATATATAGTTATTTATTAGTAGTAACAAAATGTTTTTTATTGATTTTAACGAGAGTCTGTGTTAACTAGAGAAAGACATATTTGTAGACAGGCAATGAAATGACGACTCACGAAACTATAATTTACTTCTACTTCCCAATGGCTTAATGAATAATACATTTCATAGTCAAAGGATGGGTATAATGTAATATATTTTAACAGATAGAAACAACATTCTTATTTAATAAGTTAAGTCTAATAAATAAAAAGATAGATTACATCGACATGTCTAAATATAGATAAAAAAAATTTTTTTTTCAAATTGTGTTGAGCCCTCAAGCAATAGAAATTGGATGATAGTTACGATGTAATAGGATCACTGAATAAATTACATTTAAATATGATTACCAATCTCTTTGTGAATGACGCAACAGTAATGGCATAATTGTTATTCACACTTGTTTTGCTAACTGTACTGTCGAATGATGATAATAATAATAATAATAATAATAACCAATCTTTAAATATATATCAGTCATTTTTAACCCTTTTGAGAACATTCTTTATCAATTTAGTTGTATCAAAAGGGGTTTAGTGGAGATTGTAGTAATTTCAATAGTTGAGATCTTGAGTCAATTGAAGCTAGACCACCATGGAAAAGTTGGGAGCACTGGACGGCCGTTTCGTCCTATTGTGGGACTCTTCATCACTGCGCATCTAATCGTTAATTGAAGAAATTAGAATTTGTGTTTCCAATGTAAAATGCAATTCACATTGTCTTTTTTTATTAGATGCCATTTCTATGTGACATGTAAATGACTATTGTATATTGTAAATATATGCGTCTATTGAAACAATACATTAATTTACTCGGATACTTTTGAAATCAAACGTAATTTATTATACAAACTGTTTCAATACTTAAAGTTAGTTTATGATTTATGTTTAAGTTGTGAAAAACGAATGTATTATTTTTAATGAAGCATAAATGATTCATAAACGTCTATTGATAATCAATAAATGTAGAAGGAAATATATTTACTACTCTATTGTTTCTAAGTAGTAAGATACAAAAGATCGTACCTCTTTATAAAATAATAAGAAGAATAATAATATAAAATTCTATACTGACAAACCATTAATGTTACATCAGAATCGAATCATAATTATTTATTTGTAAAAATAGTAGTGAATAGACTGATGTTTTATTTAAAACACTTAGTCCCTTTGATAAATTTCGATAGTATAATAAGAAGGTGAAGATTATCAGAACTATGTGATGATATATTAGCGTAATACATTTCGAACAATTTGATCACACGTATAATTGTTAAGAACATTTATATGCGAAAAAGTAAAAGGTCAATTAGACTAGGAATGAAGGGTAAAAGGAGACAAGGATAATAGAGAAAATAATGTGAAAACAATTTGAAACCTCATCACTCTAGATAATATTCATACGATAAGCGATTACAAAGTTTAATAAAGAATAAAGTAATACCAATCTAATATCCCAATGAGTAGAAAAATTAATTTCCCAACGTTTCGTGACTTACTGTAGGCCGCTTCTTCAGAGAATCTATTATTTGAAATTATCAAGTCAAACCATGGTAATGATACCTACAAAGAATGGAATTGCTTATTTTCAAAAATCATTAAAAAAAAATAAAAAGTAATCTTCACTAAACCTATAGCATAAAATACAATCATTTGAAGCAACAAGACAATGAATTCTTGTTATATCCACCAACAAACCTCAAATAGGTATTTGTAATAATCATAAGTAAAACTAAATATCTTATATATTTTTTAATAAAAATTATAATTTGGATCTACCATCATTAAGGAAGGATAAACTAATTAGACACAATAATAATTCTGGAGTAGAGAAAAAGAGAAAATGAAGAAGAAGAGTTTATTAGTTCAGTGATAGATTAGCCGATGAAATAAGCTAAATACAAAGTATATATATATATAATAAACATTTTCCTCATTAATAATATATTTCATTTAATAAGCTAAATGTTATAATCCATCAAAAGATAATGTGGTGACCTCGATATTTTAAAATATCTTTCAATCACTTAATCCATTTAAGTATATTCAACATTCAAGACTATTGTAAATAAATTCCTTCTGTTCATTTCAATATTTGTAATAATCATAAAGAAACATTTTTATACGAGGTCATATTTGATTGTAATAAGTTTTTTTCTTGTGTTTTTTTTAGATCATTGAATGCCCATTAAATCAGATGTGGAAGATATACTGTAGAACTTCAAATATAAAAAGAAAATTTACCACCTGCTGAATAATATCTTGTAAACAATAGTTATGGGTCAGAAATGTTCATAGGAGAATTTATAGTAAATAAATACAGTTATTGATAAATATTACCGATATTATCAATCAACTGCTCAATGAAATATATTTCATGAATTAGTCGTTTAGTGAGATGGGAAGCTTAACTGTAATTTAAAATTGTAGTGCTATAATTGAACGTTGCAGATAAATTGATTGTAATTGGTTATTTGATGATGATGATGATGATGATAAAGAAATTTTAACTGACTAGTGTTTTGTATTGAATTTAGTCAAGATTCATGAATAAATCATTGGTGAACAGTTATTATCAATTGTTAACCATACATCTTATTACTTTATCAAAGTCATCAAAGAAATCTGGTGATATTAAACAATTTACTGAAATATATTACAAGATACTCATAAGAATATCAATAAATGTCACATTAAATAATCCACTTAAGCTCTCGTATAATCAATTATCATAGAAAACAAGATAATATAACTCAGTAGTAAACTATAAGTGCTTCTTTTCAGCATATTTGAGCAAAGAATTTAGTAAGTGTTAATCTTTATACAAATGAGGTCACTTATAAAAGCCTCAATCAACAATCATATTTTTAATAAATATATATATATATATATTCATTTACTTCTATTTGATGTTGGTTAACTAGGAAATATGTCAGTAATCAATAAATAACCTGTTGTCTTCAGGCAAGGTCCTTTAGACACTATACAAGAAAATCTGATATATCTTTAATGGAAAACTCAAAGTAAATAAAGTAACTCAATCATTTAATGAGATATTTATTAATAAAGATTAAATTATACCCTACGAAACGAAATTAAACTCCCTATTCATCTCATGTATAGGAATTGGTTTCTATTAAATAAAAGACACATTTACTTCAGTATTGTATTGAACGATACCTTATTTATACCTCCATTTTATTATGATTTAATGTTATTGCTTCCTAATTTTCTTTGTTTTCTAAAATATTTCCATGTACTTAAATGTTGGTTCAAATAGTTTTGAAATTAAACCAGAGAAATAATAATTCCTGTCTGTTCAATTCAGATTACATAAATACTTTATGGTTAAATATGATAGATCTCTGCTAACAAGTATGAAAAATTATAAAATAAATTAGTTATCATTGAATAACAAAGTAGTTATCTTGTATATATTAGATATTTAGAACAACATATATAATCGAACAATATTATTTTCAATTAGATCCTCATCAGGTTTTACTCTAATATACATTAAGTAATATTTATATGCATATAAGAAATTATCAAACTTATCAAGGCAGTTAATGAGTCATTGATAACAGTGGAATGGATTACATAACTAAACAGAATAAGTTGAAAGTACAAATTGGTTATATGATGACAGGTATACTAGTTGTGATGAAAATAATGGGACATTGTATTCTCTTATATATGTGTTGTTCGAAATCACAATATAAAAATTTTTCAAATATTACATATTAACATTTCAGAGTTATTTAACATATTACATATACATAAACAAGGTAATTAAATGATCAATAGTGTTTCGTAAAATGAGAACTAATATTCCCCATTTTGAAAATTAAATCTAATTGTAAGAATTCACCACTCTGATTTTTGTTTTTGTTTACAAAATCATTAAAATGTATTTGACTAAATCATATTTATATTTGAGCAAGTCATATTACAAGTAGGCTTATACTTTAGAAAGTAACGTTCAAGAATTTGTATCCATTTCATTATGATAAGAAGTACAATATTATCTGATGAAATAATGTTTATTTTATCGATAAACTCTTAGAATTATTGTACAAGTTATCAACAAATATGAAAACTATAATCAACATTTCTCTTTTATAATAAAAATGACATTCACTTACCATTTACTGCTAGTTCTTTTGTTTGAATAGAATATTTAAACCTAAAATATATAGGCCATATATGTTTTTATTATTGTTAAACTTAAAACATTATCCGATCTTCGTTTGTTCGTTTATTTGTTTGTTTTTATCATGAATTTATATAATTGATTGTATTTTATCTTAGAAAACTGTAATTCACTTACTATTTTGTTAATTTAACTACATTGAAAAAACTTTTTAAATCATATTTCGATATAATTTGAATCAACCAATCACATGTCGAGAATTTTTAACCAATCATGTTTAAGAAATTATAATATATGTAGGTCTTCAAAAAAAAAACACAAAAAAAGAAACTAGAGAAGTAACAAACAAGCGAGCTTTATAAACCTAGATATTTCAGAAGAAGTATAAGAAGATTGTATATACCTATCAACTTTTGTGAAGTATGTTTTTTTCTTTTTTCTCTTTTTACACTTCATTCATTTAATTTTCAAGGGATTTTAGTCGATATTTTTGCATGATAAATTTTTTTTATTTCCTTTTCACAGTTATTAAATAAACCATGGAAACATTGATTAATGAAAGATTGAAATGTTGCTTTTCAAGAAAAATGTGAATAAAAATAATGAATTTGTGAAATTTTATTGATTGTCACAAATATGTTTTGTTTTTTTTTCTTTTGGTTGTCTTTTTTTTTAGAAAATTTTATCTTAAGTGATGAATCAAAGTATTTTGCCGAAACTAATTATCATTTATTTTTTTATTTTTTTCATTTGTCATCGTTTATATAAAAAAATATGTTTCAATGAAGTTTTGAATGTTTATACTTGACTGAAAATGTAGACGGTATGTTTATTGGTTCTAATGTAAAAAGGTGTAATCATAGATATTTCATCATAATTTGTTATAATGTACTGTTAATAATTCTCAGATAACACTTTATTAGGAATGAATATTTGTTGTATATTATGATAAGTAAGAAAGATTAGTTTAACAATGAGTTCTCTTTTCGGTGAATTCATTTCCAAAGCTATACAATTGCAAATGTATTTTTTTTCATTGTTTTATGAATTTCTAATTTTCACAATGGGAATCTTTAATATTCTGAAATCGCGTGGGGACCCTGTTGCATTTAAGACACTTAATGAGTTTCTGAAGTTTAATGCACGTCTCACAGAAGCGAAAACGAGCTTAGAATTTGCTAATGATTGTATACAATTTAATAGATAATCTAAAATATATTGGAAGTCTTTACGTCGTAACCGAATCTATCCTAATGCAAAAACACTTGAAAGACATGCGTCAAATCAAATTGATACTTTTAAAATGAATATCCGCGACTTAGAAAGGAATCTTCTTCAGAGACAATATTCCGTCAAAAACCTGCCTTCAGAGCTTCAATCAATGTTTATGGATTATGTGGGAAAAGTTTCCAAGAACAGATCTGAGAAAACGTTGACCAAACTAATGAAAACTTTGAAAAACCAAAAGCCAGAAAAGGAGTTTCCTTTCGACCCGAAACGGTACGTACATAATTTTTCCAATATTGAACTAGATGTAATACAGCTAGAAGCTTTATCTCTGGGGCCAAATTTCTGTGATAATAGACATAGAATCAACCAATTAGATACTGATGTACAACTTGAGAATTTATTTTCACAAACAAGTGACTTGATTCCTACCTCATTGGAGGATCTTGCTCAGTTTAAAACCATTTTAATTGATAGCTGCCAACAATACAAGAATAGTAAGGTTACCACAAATCACCTACTAACCAAGCAGCACCGAGACTTTTTAATGAAACTAAGAAAAAATGAAACCCTGACCATAACCAAACCAGATAAAGGAGGAGGTATAGTTCTCATGAACAAAAATGATTACATGGAAAAATGGAAACAATGCTTAGCGATCCTAGAAAATTTCAGAAAATTACTAGTAATTGTGACATCAATAATAAAGTAGAAAGACAATTGGCGAATTTCCTTAAGGATTTAAAGAAAAAGGGAATAATTATGACCGAGATTCACGATTCAATTAAGCCGACTGTATCATTTACACCACGACTGTATGGTTTGCCTAAAGTACACAAATCGGGTCTTCCTCTACGCCCAGTTCTAGATATGTACATCTCTCCTTACCACAAAATTGCGAAGTGGCTAGTACCAATCTTAGAACCTTTACATAAATCAGTTGTTAGAAATAGTGTAAAAGATGTCTTCAACTTCACCTCCAAAATGGAAAATATTAATGTTAGTATGCAGAATATGATCTCATTGGATGTAGGATCTTTGTTCACCAACGTACCACTTATAGAGACTATTGAGTTTATATGCAAGCAAATATCAGAAAAACAAATCAACATTGCTGCTAAGATGCACGCTGAATGTACATTTTGTCTTCAACGATACTTATTATAGACAAATAGACGGGATAGCCATGGGCTCGCCTCTATGCCCGATTTTAGCTGATCTCTTCCTAGCAAAGCTAGAAAATGGACGTCTCAATGAGACTATTAAGAAACTTGATTTATATTGCCGCTACATTGACGACACCTTCATTATCGTAGATCAAAACGCAAGTAAGGAGGAACTCCTAGACCAATTCAACAGTGTTCTCCCAGCGATCACTTTCACTGGTGAAGGCGAGCATGATAAGAAGCTGAACTTCCTTGACGTCACACTGTCATCATGTCTAACAGAAGTTTCTTATCAGTATTATTATCATCCTGAAAAATAAATATATATATTAGCAGTTGTACAGCTTTGATAATGAATTCGTTGAAGAGAGAACTCTTCACTGAACTAATCGTTCTTATTTAATATCATAATGGGTGTATTCCGTTTATTATGATAAATATTTGGTTTCAATTTATACTTTATGGCTAGATATATAATTATACAATTAGTGAATTTACCAAATATGGTTTTTATTGATAAACATTATTACGTTTTACTGAGTGCATTATACTGATTTTCACCCATTTCATTTTGGTATATACAAGTAAGCAATGCAAACATTTGTGTACAATATATTGTTCATCATCAGAGAGGATATAATTAAATTGATTTATGTTTCGATGTCATTTGGTTCAGTGATACGTTTTTGAACTCTGGTTAACAAATTTCTGGCCACTGTCACTTTGGTCGAGTTTGGATGTGCTTACTTAAAATCTACAAATTTCCCTCAATATATTGGATTTTGCAAAGTACTAATTTTTAAACAATCATTATATTTCTTCTCAACTAAACAGTCTAGAAAAGGTCATTTGCGTTCAGGAGATTCCGACTTTCAAATGAACTTGATTTTGTCATAAATGTTTTCGACATGTTCAAATCGTTTGTCTAAACCATCTCGATTTATAATGATAAAAGTGTCATCTACGTATCTTAACCAAAATTCTGGCGTAAGGAAACACATTGAGATTGCACTTGTTTCCAATGAATCCATGAATAAGTTAGCAGCAAGTGGAGAAATCAATGATCCCATGGCTACACCTGTTTGTCCATACAAATCTCCTAGAAAACTGAAAACAGTTGAATGTAAACATAGATCCAATGCCTTAATAATGTCTGAGGAACTTAATGGACACCGTCAAATCCAGTGTCAGAATCTAAGAGGTTATATGCAATATCTAAGGCTCTATTAACAGGGACATTGGTGAACAATGAACATACATCAAAACTTGTCATTAATTCATCTTCTATGTGGACAGTATTGATAATGTCTTCGAGCTAATTAGAAATTCTTATTCCTTATTTGATTACACTTTCAAATGATTTAAGAATCTTGGCCAAGTATCTAGAAAGATTGTAGATTGGTGGATTTGTATAGTCAACCACAGGCCTCAGTAAGACACCTGTTTCATGTACTTTTGGCAGCCCATAAAATGTACAAGGGTTGCTGTTTTTTGGATATAGAGAAAACCGTAGAGATGACCCTAATTTGGATGTAAAGTCTGTAGCATTTTGGTCAACTTTATAAAAAGAATAATTAAGAACGAAGACCAAAATAACATTAATAAAAAAAAGTTAGACAAAAAGAATGGATTAACACAGTGATCATCCCATATCGTAAAGATATTTCACAAGAGATCAAAAGAATTCTAATTCATCAAAATATAAGAGTATTCGTTCGAACAAATAATACTCCATAGTCAAAACTAGTGAGAATCAATGATCCAATACACAACGAAAAACAACAGAATCGTGTTTATTAAATCAAATGAAATGACTGTAATGTCACATATGTAGGTAAAACATAAAGGCAACTGAATGTGGGAATGAAACAACACAAACTATGCCTAAAGCACATTCATTAATCTTCAGTTCACCTAAGAAAACTCGACAACAAATCAGCGATAACATTACACCCGATAGAATCGGGTCATACAATTGATTCCAGTGTCACAAGAATCCTTCAAACAGGCTTTAATTCTCACGAAGAAAGACTGAAAGCCGAAACCCTACACACATAGGTAAATTTAAACAGTATTCATAGAAGAGATGGAATACAAATAGCTGTCCCATGACGAGCAATAATTAATAATTAAACCTCAACTCCTTATTCCGTTTTATCTATATCGTATTAACTAAATAACAGATATTACATTCAACGACCCAAATTAGTTATCTTATCTGAATATGTTAAACAATTGACTTTAACATTCAAATAACACAAACTTCCATTTACAAATACATTCTTCCTCTTTGAATTCATTCCTTTATCGTTTTTATTTATCTTGTTTATATGCCTTCATTTAATGTATGCTGTGACATTTTTGATTCATATCATTTATAAAAATTATATGTCTTCTTAAAATTCGCCGACCAGAGACAATATATGGTGAATGAATTTTCTTCTCACACCACAATCTGTTATCTTGATACTTTTCGTTTTACATCACATGTCTCTCATACATTAAATCAAATACTTAATTTAAACATTGTTAAAGTTGATTGAATGACCTATTCAGTATACAGTGAAATAGAGAACCATGCACCTATTTATATTCGATAATTTTGATCTTTGTATATATTGGACCAAATTGCCAGGCGAAACGTTGAATTTACATAAATTCTTTCGCTGATATTTTACAAATAAATTCTTCGCCTTTAAATAATGATTTCTACTACTGACGTTAATCAATTCAACTCAGTCTTCCATATGCACTGGGTCTAAGCATCGTTACGCCCTTGTACGACCGAGAGTGGGGA